CCCCCTCTAGCCTAAGTTTAAAAATAAATAACCCACCAACAAATAATTAGCCGAAAAAAATAATTGTTACTCGGAAATACTGTGTTGTCACTGCTATCGTTTAGGCACTTGAGCTAATTATCGACCAGCTCCTGAAGATAATCTACCAAATTATTGTCAAACATAACTAAATGTCTTTAACATTAACACATTTTCAAAGAGAACTAATAGTTTAGGAATTTAAATCTAGCATGGAAAGTAATTAAGGTAATACAGTTTAGTTACTTGACTAGACGAAATAGTATAGTGAATGATATCAAAGCACTCCTTAGTCCTTGTGAATCCTTAGGTTCATGTCATAACTGACCAAATCTGTAACATTTAAGAAAAGGTTTGCATTTGAAATTAAGTAAACTAAGTTACCAAATTAATATCTAATGTGAACTTGGTCCAAACTGAAATTTTATTTAATTCTTTCCCCCAAACACCTTTCATGTCGCAATCTTTGGCCATTTCTTATCGCCTAAAAAAAATAATATGTAGTACAAATAATGTCGACAATTTTGATTTTCTAGTCCATCGGATGGCTACCGGAATTCAGCGTAATCTAAAGAATAGAAAATGAAAATAAAATAAACAGAAAGCAAAAAAACAGTAGCCAAAACGTTGCTATTAAGATAACACAAATATGTGCATACGACTATCTGGGTAAATATTTAAATCGCGCTCGGCGCTCTGTTGTGCGGTGTGGTGTTGTCTGTGACGGCGACATAATTTTCCAAAAGGTAAACAAACAAAACCGAGAGACACACGAACGGCTCAAACAGATCAAAGATGTTCGATAAGGACTTGAAAACTTCTTCCGGGGAGACAGTTAACAAGATTAAGGAATTGTTACCCAGGCGCCAGCTGAGACATTTTCTAATGCCCCATGCAAGGTTCACATATCTGACTCAGACAGCCTGACCGTCTCTCTTTTTTTTTGTGATTGGGATTTATTTTCAAAATTTTGAAACCCTTTGTCGAACAATTTCCATGTGTGTTAGACATCGTGACTAATAAGCCGCGGGATGTCTGCTATGCCCATACAAAACTTTCAATTAAGCTGGAAAACTTGAGGTTTTGCTTCGTGGCCTTTGTGTCTTCGATTTGATTTTGGAGGTTTTATTTTATTTTTTCCTTTGGGGATCGATGATATGTAGATACAATTATGAGAATTTTGACTTTTGTGCATTTCACGATTCGTGTTTGAAATGTAGATACCAAGATACGACTGCATCATCGCATGACATGTGAAAAAACTCATGGGTTGACAGGCGGCCAATAAAACTGACAGAATGAATGGACATGGCTAGTGGATTTTGGACGGGATTATGCCAGTTTAGTCAAGTCAGTGAGTAGGAGAGAGTCCCAGAATGCGGACCCCGAAATGCCAAAGAGTGTTGACTGTGCCTAATTAGCTGAACCCACCCCCGCCCGGATGAAAGGGTTCTTCGACTCCGAGATTGCCAACTTAATTAGTGCCGACTGACCTCTGGTCAGAGAAGTCGAACATCTGTCCCGATCGAAGTCAGGCAGAGGGTACAGCCTCGTCTCTATCGATTGCAAAATATTATGGGGACATATTGGCATTTCTTTACTATTGGGGTCCATAAATTACACGCCAGGTGATCAATCAAATCGTCACCAGCGCCCACCGATCGTCAGCATATTTTCGGCCAGCTTTTGTGCACTTTTATGGCCCCAGATTATGGGCCCAGCAGAATCGGTTCTCGAAAGTTTCGCCACATGACGTTGATGTTGATGTTGTTGTGTTTAATCAACAATTAAAACAATTTACTTTTAATTGAAATATAATTTTCTATTTGCACTCGAATTAAATATTATTATCAATTGAGCCGTCTGCCAGACGGCGTTCCACGCACTCTGCTCCGCTCGTGTACGGCCTCCGGTCTCCGGTCTCCGGACTACGGGCTCAGGCCCACTTAATCGCCCCGAAACGGACCCCATGTAATGCTACCCGGGCCCCCAGATTGTACGAGTGGGGATCTCCGTAAAGTGGCAGTGGCGCCTACATAATATAAATGATAATATCATTATATCATATCAAAATGGCCGTTCTCGAGCGTATGATTCATGACCGCAAAGAACCGTACGTGGAGTAAAGAATTCAAGGACAACTTGATGGTTACTACAACTAAATTCTGATTAATAATAATAAAAATATTTAAAGAGTGTCACAATAACATTAAAACAAAGAATTTGTTTATTCGAACTTTGACAGATAAATGCTAAGTTTTCAATATCCCTTGACTTCTTGTATTAGAAGTAGTTATCCCAATAATTTATCTCATTCTTAAATCAATAATCACCTTGTTTGACCTGCTTAAGACAATCAACGCTAACTGTGTGCGTTGCCCGGATTTTCCACCACTCAGCTTTTCACACGGGAATTGATTGTGATGCAAGGGGAAGATATGCAAAAGTCAACAAGCGTTTGACTGACTTAAACCTGCAATTGTAATTACCGCTAGTTGAGATGTTATCAAATTACATCGACTTGGTGTGGCGCCTCTGACTGTTGCACTCCTCACTCCTCCCCCTTTTGCAGCGTTCTGCTGCACCGCAACTCCGGCTGTTTACATTGATTGTCAACAGTGTCACTTGAGCGCCATGGTGCCAGCCCTCTCTCACACCCACCCCCTCGGGGAGATGGCCTTCAAGGGGGTGAGAAGAGGTGGCCAGTTGGAGGCACAGTTGGCCCGGAACGGAGCAGAGTGGAGTTCCCTACTTTCCACTCCTCGTTCAGAGCACCACTGAAGTGGAAGCAAGCCCCGATAATGCTCTCTAAAACTAATATTACAAAGCAGATACCGTTTGGCGCCGGACAAAAGCGACAGTGCCGCCAACTGGCCGCGACATGTTTGACAACCCGAGCGACACCACCAGTGGCTGAGGCAGCCGTGCCACTAACAGAGGCCGCACCGTGCCACAGTGGAGTCAGAAATTGTTTCTCTATTTGATGTAAATAATTACAAGGGTTTTTACTCTAATTATTTCTGTTGTGACTAGCTGTAGCGAAGTACTTAGTCATTGATTGCAGAGTTAAACTTCTGATTGAATTAAGGGATTCATAGATACAGATGCAGATACAGATTACCGATTACAGATACAGATTAGAGATACAGATACATTAGAGTAAAAAATATTACTATTTACTAAAAATATGCAAAATACCACAAGAACTGAGAGGAATAAAACCCCATGACACCTTTAAATTTTCCCTTTCTGTGTATTGGATATAATTTACACCACTGTGCATTGATTGGCGGCAACATATTGATAACCTAACCGGAATGCAGTAACTCTCAACTGTCGCAGTTGCTACTACTGCTGCTACTATTAATGCTACCGGGAATGTGAACGTGAACGTGAAGGTGGTTGTGAATTCGACTTTGACTGTGACTTGCGACTGGCGGCTGCAACTGCCGCGGCGGCGAGTGTGTGTTTGGTTTTGTTTGCTGGAAAATTCAAATGTAGCCCAAGCCACTCGACACGGTAATCCTGCGGCTTGTTTTCTTAGACATTCCTGTGTGCATTACGATAGGAGCTAGCCAGGCAGTCCGACATCCACTTATCGATCGCTCCGCGCAAACAGTTCCCAAATCCTCGAAAGGTGCGCGCCAGCTACTGTGCGGATATGACGGGCTGGTGGATGCCAATTTGGGTATCAGTGGCACTTGGAGGAGCCGTCATAAATTCATCACTCATTCGGCTCTGTGGAACTTATTTATTGGTCGGTTTGGCTCGGGGTTCTTTTTGATTTATTGCACTAGAAGCGACCAATTGCCTAAAAAACTATTAAAACAACTCGATAACTAAGCGGACTCGACCAGTATGTATTAATATTGCCACCGATCGGCGTCTTTTAACTCCCGGTAAGGTTAATCATCATCAAGGAGTCAGCAATGAAACTATCGAGGTTCGGTTACGATGGTGTCGCATAATGCTTATTAATTGATTTATGCTGAACAAGTTTTCATTTAGATTTATGACTGTGTGAAAAGGTTTTTTATGAGCTTTTAAAGTTGGTTCCATAAATTAAATATCACTTCAATTATATTTTAGGAAGATATTAGTTTGAAGTCCAAATTACATTTGTCTTTTTGTCATTATTTTTCCATGATTTTCTTATATCTAATATCTATGATTATATGATTTTCTTTCTTAAAACACTGTTCCAAGTAAATTTAGGCAATCTCACCTGTTTACTTCTTAAACAGAAATCCCCACAACGCATTAAGAGAACTGCAATTATCCGCTTTTTAAGTCGAATGTAGAATTTCTTAAGGACTAAAAACAAAATCCAAATCCTAGACAAACCCACAAATATCATAATACCTTTACCTCCCACCAAACAAAGTGAGAGTTAAAGTCAGTGCCAAAGGATATCAGTTAGCGAGTCGAATGCCCGCTGTCAGGATAATCCCTATATTTTCAAACAAACCTATTGGGCGCATTAAATCCTTCTATGGAAAGGCAAACAACCAAAAGGAATTATTTTCATCATCGTCGGCTTTAGCCACGGGGCGCACGTCAAATTATGAATAAAATGCAAAATCACGCAAACAAGCCAAAAGTCAAAAGTTAAAGATAGTGTGTTGAGGGAAAGCAGAGGGGAAGGAAGAGGGTCGAAACTCTCACAATGATTAGCTGCGACAGCTAAAGATCAACCCAAGGGATCGTATACCTAAACCCACAACAAAGATGCACACAAAAACGAGGATTACACTAAAAGAAAAATATGCCATAGAACTAGTTATACATATATTTATAACCACAACTGTGAAATGATACTAGGATAAAGGAATCTTTAAGAAAGTTAATTTCTGTTCTGGAATTAAATGGAAACCTCCGTTCAAAATAGCTAATATTATTAATAGTTAAGTTTTTTAATATTCCTATACTATTTCATCGAATTTCCCTGAGTGTACTCACGCCCCTCTCTATTTCCTTTCCAGCTCCGAAACTACCTGCCAGCGGAATTGCCAGCATCCACGACTACCAAATGAACGGGCAGCTGGACATGTGCCGCGGTGGTGGCAACGGCGGCGGCAACGGAGTCGTCACCAGTTCTGTTGGTGTCGGCGGCAACGGATCCTCTGGGATCGGCAATGTCCTGGCTGTGCAAAACTCTCTGATGATAGCAAACAATGGATCGCCCGGCAGCGCCCATCCCAACGGGTTGGGCGTTGGCGTGGGCCTGGGCAATGGGTCCGGAGGGGGCCTGAGCAGCTGCAACCTTTCCAATAGCACCAACAATTCCGGCCGGACAAACTTCACCAACAAGCAGCTGACGGAGTTGGAGAAGGAGTTCCACTTCAATCGCTACTTGACGCGGGCGCGACGCATTGAAATCGCTAATACACTGCTGCTAAATGAAACTCAGGTAAGAATGTTGCTTTGAGTATTTACTTAATTACATTAAAATTAGTATAAAAAATCCGAAAGGGAAAAAATACAATTATAGGCAGGATTAAACTAAACTTTTAGGTTTGGTTTGGTGTGCTTCCTTACTTTTTTGCAACAAAAGCTGCACTTGATCAACAAGTATGGCGATCGTTCGTGAGCTTCGGGATTATCCTTGGTCCTGCATGAAAATTCAATTGAATTGAATCAAAGATGATCATTTTAAGAGATGATTTGGATGAATACAAAATAGGCAAATCTATCATGGCATTGACCGTCCTAACTTGGGGATTACTAATCCATGTTGGATGGTAGATTACACTAGTTAATATAAACCTATAAATCTAATCATTTATGGGTAAAGTGCTTAAATATTACTTTTATCTCAAAAATAACCCTAAGTTGAGACCCTTACATATGTGAACCTGATGACTAATTTCCATTACCACAATCCATCAGTGTTGAAAGGCATAATAAACGAACCAATAAAAAGATAGAGACATCTGCGGGCTTGGAAAATATAAATGAAGTCTAGTAAAATTCCAAACAACTTCATAGGGGTCGTTGAGCATTTTTAAGTTTTTAAAGATTTCTACTATAGTGTATGTAGTATGAAGTTAAGAAAAGCTTTTTTAATTTCATTTAAAATATGAATGTCATAATAATAAATAATTTATGCGAGCTTTTCTTATTACTACTATTTATTGAAATTACAAATTTCCTACAACAAAATTACCACTCTTTTAAACCAATTTTTTAAAATTCTTGATTGCAGGTCAAAATCTGGTTTCAAAACCGCCGGATGAAACAGAAGAAGCGAGTGAAGGAGGGTCTTATTCCGGCGGACATCTTGACGCAGCACTCGGCGGCTCCCGTGATCAGCGAGAAGCCGCCCCAGACGCAACAGCAACAGCAACAGCAGCAGCAGCAACAGCAACCGGAGTTGCAGATAAAGCCGCAGGCCAGCGATCTGGGCAGTAACGAGTTGTCCACAGCAGCAACATCGGCAGCAAACGCCAAGCAGAGTTGAATGCATTTCACTGCTGTACTTGTTATTGTTATTGGTGGTATTGCTGTTGTTTTTGTTTTTGTTGTTGTTGCCGCTAAAATATTGACGCATTTCGTTGTGATAAATAAATAGAAAATGCCCAGAAAATCAGAAAAATAAAATAAAGAAATAAGTATATAAATATTATGTCATATTTGTAGCAAATTTAAAATTAATATAAACCCATATGAAATCGGTAATCAAACGCTATAAACTTGTGGAATCAAGGTGCCATATATTCAATCTAGGGGCTGTAAATACTTAAACTTAATTTTTGCATTGCCGCAGCTGAAGTTCGTTCGTTAGACTAGCATAAACTAAACTCAGGGTTATATGAAAAATCAAACTAACTTAAAAGCACGCAGAGCAATTGATTAAAAAACACACTGAAACTAACGGAATCAAAACTAAGATCCAAAATTAAAATGTTAAATAAAAAACTTTACAAGAACTACATACTTATATACCACGTAGAACCCCAAGTGTACACCACCACTCGTCTGTAGTATTATTAGCTAAGTTATTCGTTTTGTGCTAGCCAGTAATAATCGGTAAAACAATCTTGATGTACGTCTGTATATTTAATCTAGTCCTAATTGTAACATAATTATAACTGTACAACACATAAATACGTATGAATAAACAATAAACAAAACCGATTGCAAATTGTTAATAAACAGTGTGTGGACAACTTATTACGAGTGTGGGTATTACAATAATGATGGCGATCTCGGAAAGTTAATTCGTAGCAAATTGCTGCCGAATAATGGACACATTTATATTTGGTAATCAAACCAAGTACACCCGATAAGCGAGGTAACACTTGGCCGGGGAATTCAGGCACAGAGGGCAGATGCCAGAATAACCTTCAAACCATATAAAATATAGGATATCTTGATTAATTGGAATGGAATGGTCAGAGTACAAAATATGCAAATCTATCATGGCTTTGACAGACCTGGCTAGGGGATTACAGATCCATGCATCACATGTTTATGAAAATTCGCATTTTTTCGGGGATTTATTGATTTCATATCTTTTGGTTTCCCGAAAAGAAAATTACCTAGGAAATTCATCAAACGCCTTTGACCAAAACAGTTTTGCATATGGCTGATAGATCGGATTTTAAGACCACATTATAGATTGTAGGAACGTTAGAATCTCAGGAATTAGACAAGAACTTTTATAGTGACTCATAAAATAAGCAAGACAACAAAAGAAGCCGTAAAATAGTTAGGATAATAAATTACAATATTCTAGCAGGAAAGCCGTTCATTAGCAATAGTTTGGTTTTTGTTTTACTCTTTTAAAGCATAAACCATGACCCATGGAACATTTTTGATTATGAAAAGTCCTTAGGCCGATTTATACTTTCCATTAAACAATTTATTTAATAAATAATTATATTACATTAAAAGAAATTGAATAAAGAAAATAGCTGACTTCCGGAACCATGCACTGCTTGCTTAATGATTTTTAATTTACCGCCAACTTCGGATAGTCTGGCAATGCATTCCATTTCATATAACAGTTTTGTTTCGAATTCTTTTTGGCGCTCTGAGCGACTAATGTGTGACCAGCTGCTGCAGAGGCGACAATACTTTCTCCTCCTGAAGAATTTACAAGATAATCGAAAAACAGCAGGCGGTTACACCACCATCATTGCATTTAATTTAAAAAACACGAAATCAGTAAAGTTTGTGTACTTTTGAACCTAAACAACAATGTGGTTTAATGAGAAACCCCGCATCTGCTTGATTCCATTGGAGAATCCGCCTGAACTCATCCGCTTTTCGATCCTGGCGACCAAGTTCGGCCGCATTCTGATGGGCATGGTGAATGCAGGCCAACACGAAGACGCAATTTGTTTAATTTACTTCGTGGAGAAAAGCGACAAGGAAACTTTGAAGGAACTGCGTCAGCGTTGGCCAAAGTCCGAGCTCCTACAGGACGACAAATCTGTCCAAAGTGTAGCCGACAAACTCTTCGAAGACAACAAAGAGAACAATGACGTGATTCCGATTGCCATCCTGGGCACCGAATTCCAGCAGTCCGTGTGGGCGGCTTTGATAGGCCTAAAAAGTGGCGAAACCTGCACCTATTCCCAACTGGCGGAACGTATGGGTCGTCCGAACGCAGTGAGAGCCGTAGCCAATGCGGTGGCCAAGAACGAGGTAGCCATCTTAATCCCGTGCCACAGGATAGTGTCGCAAAACGGAGCCACCAAATACCACTGGGGCTCGTCTCTGAAGCAGCAGCTGCTCACCTTTGAAAGTTCCTTGGCCAATTAAAAATTGTTACTTGTGTCTTTATTGAAACTCAGCTCCGGACAACGATCTTTCTGTTGGGGTGATGGTGGTGGTAAGGAAATCGCTGTATCGAATCCTTCAAAAGAAAATGCGAACAGGCTCGAGATTGTGCACTTCCTACTTATAAATTGTACCTACAAAATAAGAGCGAACCCGTCTATTCTCGATGCAGCAGCACGAAAATGGCCAGAATGGAGAGAATGGCCCACTGCAAGGAGAAAGGATTGAGGGATCAGAAAAAAGAGGATAGTAATTTGAGAGAGATGCCTACTCACCTTAACTTTGGGATATTCGTTCATGAAGATCGTAATGATGCCCACGTAGGGCAGGAAGCCCCTGGCCCGGCCCACAATATCCTTCTTGGTCAACCACAGCTGATTGGGAGCATAGAGGCCCCGATCGTCCACATTGTTGTTGTCGCCCTTGGTGAGGAACTTGACGGAGCCGTCCTCCCTGCCAAAACAACCAATGGTTAGTTTGTACGAACCCAAGCCTGGCAGCAACTCCCACCGCCGATTTTTGCACTTACTTTTCGTGAAGCTTGATCACGCGATGCACTATGGGTATGTCTCTGCCCTCGACCTTGAAAACGACGATCTCGCCTACACGCACCGGCTCCTCCTTGTAGTTAGTGAGGAAGAGCAGATCGCCGCGGTGAAAAGCCGGCTCCATGCTGCCACTGAGGACCACCACAATAGGCGATTCGCTGCCGGTGACCACCATGAGACCCTTCCAGATCATCAAGGCCGAGGAGACGATCATGGCGAAGCTCAGCACCTGATACAGGGACTGCGGAATGGGGAAAATATGGGTCAGGATGCTACTCCAGAGCCGGAAGGCGGTGCCGCGCTCACCTGACGCTTGTTCATTCTGTTGAAGTCGCCCAGCATCTCGTCCATCTGCAACATACTGGCTACCCCCATGGCTGCGGCTGTGTGTTTGGGACTGTTCTTGCGGAGATTAACCTAGCTAAATGCAGTTAAATGGGGTTTAACAAAAGTCGTCGGCTTCGTCCACGAAGACAGAAAATTACAGACACGTATGTGGCAGTGTGGCCAGACTCGGCGCTGTGGAATTAGCATAAATTGGCTTTTTTGTGTCGCTTTCACTGGGTCACACTGAAATGGCGGCTTCTCTAATAAATAGTGTTACTAGTTTTGCTTATTTTAGGCTAAATGTAGCATTTTTAAATTTTGCAACGCTTATTTAATTCCCATCTGTATTAATACCTGATATCTATCATATTTAAATTCAACGCAAGCAAATAGGGATGGAATTGATAGTATACTAACTTTTTTAAATTAATTAATGGTGTAATTTTTGACTCGTTATTTGTTGTTTTCTGATATATTGTTTTAAATCTAATTTTTTGAGTTTTGAGTAACTTGTGCCAATATCATCATTATTTCTCAAGGTTTAGATGTTGGTGTGTATATCAAAATAAAGGGATTAAATTATTATAATTAATTCAAATAAATTTTACAATACGATTAAAAAATTCTATTCATTTTACTTTAATTACTATTACTGTGAAATACTAGCATAGGTTAAACATAATTCTTCAATTGTATCTATGATAATAATATTATTTAATAATTATTTAAGACTATACAAAAAAATAGACTTGTCGGATAAGGCAAGTTCTGAGATTTTTTCTGAAAAGTTTAAGCTGAATTTTAAAATGTTATTCGAATATTTATAATAAATACACATAATAACACATAAATTCTTTCAGAATTTATGAGTTTTTATAACGTAGTTTTACTTTACTTATCTTGGATTTGTGAAAAAAAAACAAGCATTTTAAATAAATTCAATGCGAATAATATTGGTGTATTTAAATTATTTTACCACAATAAAATTATGGTATCCATCAATGTAATCTCTACTAAATTCATTAATTAATGCATTAGTGTCATCATTAATCAATGTGTCATCATTAATAATCGTGTCATAACACCATAACGGGGTGTCATCACTATTAGTGTGACCCAAACGGCGCGGTTGGTGTGACCGCACCCGAAAACGTGAAGTGAGCGCCATCGGTTGCGTTTTTTCGCGAAATAAAATAGGAGCAAATTAGCCAGCAGGATCAAAATGGGGGACAAGCTGCTGGATTCCACACAAATCATCAATGGCCTCGCTGTGATGCTGTCGTTTTTCGTCGGCTACCGATACGCCCTAAAACGTGGGGACGCCAAGGATCTGTCCCCGGTTGAAGGGGAAAATGCCGCGGCCGGAGCCACAATGTCCAGTCCTATGGAAGCTCCAGTGGCCGACAAGGTGAGAAGGGATATAATCTGAATGCTGGGAAAAGAGAGGTGCCCTTACCCAGGCAACAGCTGTGTCTCTGCCTTCGCTAGTATTCGCAGGTTCCACAAAAGCTCGATATATTTTAGCGCACCTACACTCACGGTCAGAATTTTAGAGCTGCGAATTTGCTGCGAATTGTCAGTTGGCGGTTTAATTCTTTTATTACCGCTTCCGGTGATATTAATATACTATAAATTTAAAAGCAATTCGATTCTAACTTCCCACTTTCTCCCAATAACTCAGGGCTACGGCGGCTTCAACGAGAACTTTAAGATGGTCCTTGTCGTTCGCAACGACCTGAAGATGGGCAAAGGCAAGATTGCCGCCCAGTGTGGCCACGGAGCTGTCGGCGCCTATCAGCGGGCGGTGGGTCGGACGCCACGGTTGCTTCGTGCCTGGGAGAACTGCGGCTGTGCTAAGATAGCCGTGCGCGTGGAGAGCGAGGCAGAGCTAATGGCCATCAAGAAGGCAGCTGAGCGGCAACAATTGAACACCTGCCTCATCCGCGACGCTGGACGCACCCAGATCGAACCCAACTCAAAGACTGTGCTGGCCATTGGGCCGGCAGCCGCCGATGATATCGATCGGGTGACCGGCCACCTGAAGCTGCTGTAAGATCTGCGCATTAATGTAACTCTCGCAAGCCATGTAGTATCACAAATTCACTAAGTGCAACCCAACAATTCTCGAAGCAATAGGGCGCATGGGGGTGCCGGTGGATAAGGTAGAGATGGTGTCATGCCACCGATGAGGAGGCGGAGAAGATGACGACGACGACTGTGACATGCAAGTTAAGCTAAGATTTACGTTATCACGTTAACTGTGAACCGAGCTGTTACACATTAAATGATTGGCAGTCCTCACCCTGGAACTGCAAAGCTCTAATGCAAATTTGTTTTCGTGGGCAATTATTAATGGGTCACACCCTTTACAGGGTATTATTATTTTAATCAGAAGCTTGGAACACGGGCATTAAGTCATTTTCGACACTATATATTCATCTATATTCTCGATCAGCATTGACAACCGAATTAATCTAGCCATGTCCGATCAAAAAGTAAATTTTCGATTTTTTTAAATGAGGAAATATACATACATATATAAAAATTATAGTTTTTCAAAATGTTAAACTTGGTATGAGGATATACTAACCTGATGAAAACTTACATATAAGAACTTTCAGAGTTAAAATTAATGCTTTAAAAACAATTTTAATTCTAAGTTTGGTTAGCCAATTTCAGCATTATTCAAATTATACATTATATTCATTATACAAATATAGTATAAAATATGTTTAGGCCCTTTAGAATAGTTTGATAGATCAAACAGGATATGAACGTTAAAATATAGATTTATATATTGGAATCCATTCAGTATAAATTTATCGCTTTTTATTTAAATGAATTAAGTAAATTAAAAATCTTTGTTTATCAAACATCATTAAACGATTAATCATGATAGGTGCAAATTAAACTTGTTGAAAAAGTACAGTTACACGTACAGTGTTTATTGAATTATTTTTTAAAGTACAAACTTAAGTTTATTTAAAAGGCATTATAAAATTACATTATTTTTCACTCTCTTGTGTAACCAAAATAAGCGGGTATTCTTTAAAACTTGAGTTCTAAAAAGTCCAAGCATAATCGTTGTCTCCCTGTGGCGTTTGCGGAGGCTGCTGCATTTGATCCGGTTGTGGCGGTGTCATCACCCGCTGCTGCATCTGCATTTGCTCCATTCCCTGGGCCTGCTGGAAGTCGAGTTGCGGCTGCTGCTGATAGTCGAGAGTTGTGGGCTCGTTAGACGAATCCACCAGGTATACCTGCGACTGCGACGGTTGACCGCCCAAGCCCATCTGCTGTTGGTGATGCACAGCATAGTCCCCATCATCGAAAACTTCCTTCTTAATGCGCACTCTGGTGCCATCATCCTCCTCGTCACTCTCCGAGATGTCCAGATCGTCGTCTATGCCCAAGCCGTTGTTCATGCCAGCTGTTGACATTTCCGACGGCATTTGCATGGCCGCTGATTCGTCATCGAGCGTGGTCAGACCCATACCAGCCGCAGTAGCAGCGGCTGCAGCAGCGGCACTCGTGCTGGCCTCCGTTGAACCGTAAGCACCACTGTCATCCTGAGAGTTGGGCATGAAATCGGAAAAGGCGCCTTGCAGGCTGGTCGGCTCGCCGAGATTTTGCCGCGGCTTGTGCATGGCCAGGAAGTCGGAGGGATCGTAGTTCGGGTCCACATCCATGGACTCATCTGCAAGTATCAAGAAATGTATTAACAATCTGTTTAACCAGAGAAGAATCAATGACGGATTGGGCATGGGGTTGGGACAAGACATCGAGGGCACAACACAGAAGTTAAGAAATGGAAAATAAAGACCTTGCTGCTGTTGAGCGTAATAGCCAGCGCCCACGCCACTCAACTGCACCATTGCTTCGGCCACCTGCTGGCTGTCATCCTCGCCGACCGGCTCCTCTGCTCGGGTGATATATCAGATAATATCACAAATAGAATCCAGATAACGTCAGCGACCAAAAGTTGTTGGTGGATGATTAGTAATCAATTTAGAAACAAAGACCAGGGACCAAAATCATTAAAAGTTTCAATATAAAGTTACAAATTGTAATGTAGACCTACACTTATCAATATTATTATTGGCTTAAAAATAAGTCTTGTAATAAATATTATATTTTCAAAAAAGCACTACTATATGCATTCCATTACAGAAGCATTTTGTATATAAAAGGGCTCTAGGCCGAATGCACCCACCTGCCATCTGCTGCTCCTCGATATCGATCTCTGTCTTGATGTTCTTAGGATCGATATAGTCGTCGCCGGAGGCATGCATGCGTTCGCCCTGGTCTAATATGCTGGCCGCATTGTTCTCATCTTCGGAGACCTCTTGGAAGTCCTCCTCCTCGTCGTCGTCTTCGTCATCCGTCGAGCATTGCAAGTCTAATGGAAAGCAAATTAATTTTAATTAAAATAATCAACAAAAAACACTCACTGATTTGTGCATTACCAGGAACTGAAATAAGATGCAAGTTAAATTAAAATTAGAAAATTAGACTAGCTAAAATGTAACGTAAGGGCATGCAACAATTTGGCTACTTAAACGGTTATTTAAAGTTAGTAACAATGCGTTAGTAAGTAATTAAATGCTCAAGCTTTGGAAATCCAAATAAAAATGGTTTGCGTAAAATAGCAGTTAAGAAAAGCATATAATGGGTATCAATAAATTTTCGGTGTCATGTGTTTTAATCATTTGGATGCAGGTGAATTCGTGTGCTGACTCGCTGGCTTAGTTGGGCTCAGTCGGTGATTAGAGGCTTACCTTCATCCAGGAAGTAAGCTTGCGTGTGACTCATGTTTGAGGCAAGGCTGTCCTTCCTCGGACGACCCCGACCACGCTTAATTGGATTCTGGGCTTTGACTACAAGAAAAGGTAAAAGTTTTTGCAGTTCTGAAGGCGCAACATAGTTTAGTGGTTCGATTATTAAGGACAATCTTCGGAAATTATCGCAACATATGTTCCTCTGGCTGTACATATTGTGATTTTAAAAACTGGAGCGCTTTTCCCGATATATACATATTTCCTCATAGACAATCTACAATTATTTCTGATATTTTCTAAAATTTCTGAACACGGATTTAATCATATAATATTTAATCTTTACGAAATATATATTGAGCCAGTTATTGCTTTCTCATTATATCATATCAGAATCTCCTCTTGATATACATTTCTTCTTTAGGTACTAAGTAAGATTCATGCATTGCGTTGATGTTGGATGTATACATTTTCAAACGGATCTGATGTCTACATGAATATTTAAATAATGACTCGTCAGATATTAAAGATATTTGATAAGAGTTCAAGTTCAAACTACGCTGAAACATACTATATATTCGGGATTAGTAGAAGCAGAAATTCCTTTGGATTCGTGTCGACCATAACCACAGGGCTCTAATTTCAGATATTTGTTATATTTAGTTGATTTCGAAATGGAGGAGGAAGCGTGATCAATACCAATAGTTTCATAAGTTCCAGGAAAGAGATTACACTTAAGAATGTATATGTATGCAGATGTAGAGATATAGTTCCATAGATCCTGGCCCGTTCTGGCGGTGGTATTAGTAGAATGAAACAGACCCTGGACCCACTTACCCTCCTCAATAGGATCTCGCTGCTTGCGGGGTCTACCTCTGCCGCGCTTCACCTCACCCGGACCTGGAGCCTGAGTCTTTCGCGATGACGACGCCGTATGAGAAATGCCAATTTCCGCTCCCATTCCGCGGTGAATGGAGTTGGGAGGCATGGCGGTATGTCCATGACCCTCCACGTCGATGTAATCGTCGCCTGGGGAGCTACCGCGGCTACCACGTCCAAAGTCGTAGTCATCATTGCCCCAAGCCTCGTCGAACTCGGGGGCGTTCTCCCGTGCTCGCTCCTGGGTCTTGGCTATGTTTTCCTCCAGCTGGGTGCAGTGCTCTGCGAACTATGTTTAAATGTTTAGTTTTATATTCTTAAATATAGAAAGAATTCAAAAAGATCTCGTTGTACGAAATACCTCTTCCAACTGCGATTGTCCGTACTCCAACATCTTCTTGGCGAACTTCGTGTACCGGGAATCTGCGCCATTGTACTGCTCGCAATTGGTGGCAATCAACTCAATGTCGGCCAGGTACTCTGCTCGACTGTGGTACTGATGGGCTGTATGGAAAATAATCCTTTATATTATTCGGAAGCTAGCCACTTAGGTGAAATTACCTTCGATATTTTTTCCGATCGTCTCCAGGTCCATCGGCCGCTTAATAACAATGTAATAGTCTTTGACCTGTTTTTTGTTGACTGGCTTAAGGAAGGGCCAGCTTTCGGTGAGCTGCTTAATCTGCGTGTGTAACTTGTCGAAAATAAAGGAGAGAGCCACCTGGTCATCGTCATCCAGCAGTGGATTAATGGCCTTTTCCAGACGCATCAACTTGTCCTCACGCTCGGCGAGCAGTTCAAAGCAACTGGAGAACATACGCTGGGCGGCCACTGTGTAGGCGCTCTGCGATCCATTGTAGATCAGTGAGTTGTCTACAATCTGTTTAAGGTCTTCCAGGAACATCTCACGACTCGTGTATCGTCGTTGGCGAATATACTCCCGCATGGTTTGCAAGTCCATGGGCTTGGTCACGACGCGATAATAGTCGGGCACCCGTTTGGCACTAACGGGAAAAAGGAACGGCGATACATCTGGCATGGACCGGAGTTCATTAAGGATGAGCTCCAAAATAGACGAGAGAACCACCACTGGATCGGTGCGCCTCCGATTGGCAGTCTTGTTGTGCCTCTGCAGATAGTCACAGTGGAGGTCGCCACCCACTCGACGTTTCTTTTTACCCATAGAATCTCGGGGAACCTTCAGAGTTAGACCCGAACTGGAGCCCATGCGACGCCTGCTGTCGTCGCCTCCATGTCGCTTCAGCACTTTGCTGCTTAAAGTCACCTTGGTTCCATCAACATTTACCAGATCGTCGTCGTCCATACCCATCTCCTTCTCGCTCTGATCGTCCAGATCGTCAACCAGCGAGGGGTTCGAGTGGGACAGGCTGCTCTGCATGCCCGTGTACAACGGACAGGCCTTGTTGGTGCGCATGTGACCCACCTGACCGCAGGCACCGCACTTGAGCTTCAGGTCCGGTTTAAGCTTGAACTTCTTCCGCGAAGGACTGACCTCCTTGTAACCACTATCCCGTTCCTTGTGTGAGTGGCCACCGGAGCTTTTGGGATCGCCCAGCGAAGTGGGCATGCCACCCGGCTGCAGCTTCTGATTCTGGGCTAACTGTGCTAGTCGCTCACGCTCTTGGTTTCGCTTGATGCGACGTAGCTGCTCCTGGATGCGCCGCTTCTCCCGCTTCATTTCTTCCTTTTGCTGCTCGTCCAGCGTGGCAAACTGCTTAATAAACTGTTCGTCCTTGGTGGTGCGGATCTTGATGTAGGCATCGATCACCGGCTGACGGCGCACAGTCTCCACGCGGGTGTACTCTTTTCCATCGATACCCTTGAAGGTGCGCGTGATGCGCAGGATCCGGCCCTGATTGTTACTGGGCAATGGCTGCTGAGCTGCTTCTTCCTTGGCCTTTGCTCCCTTGGCGCCGCCCTGTCCTCCCGCGTCGCCGTTTTCATCGTCCAGCTGCCGCAGTAGCTCTTGGCGCTCTTGCTCCTCGCGCTCCAGTGATAGTTGGGTCGAGGTCTTCTTGTTGGAAAGCATGTTCTCTAAGTTCTTGCCGAGTTCCTCGAGGTCTGATTCCTCAGAGGCCGAGGACTCCGCTTCATCGGTGGATAGCACCTCCGAGCTAGCTAGCACTCTGTTTTGCAGATCGAAGATGCGCTGACACTCCTCCTTGTAGCGCTCCTGGTGCTCAGCAATGGAGAAGCGGTTACCGCGGGAAAACTTGTCCATGCCCTCTTCGCCAGCCTTCGCTTTCTCCGTGGACAGGGTGCGCACCACATCTATGACCTCCCAACGCGACAACTTCTTGATCTCTTCCTCCGGCACCTTGAATTTTCGCAACAGCTCTTTTGCCCGCTGCAGCGGAAGCCTTCGCAGATCGGCATCTGTTCCAGTAACCGACCGTTTCGGCTGTGACTCCTGCTCCTCCTTAGTTTGCTGTGGGGTCGTAAGGATATATTTTAATTTTGAAAATACAACGTGAAATTCGAATCTCACCGTGGGCTTGTTGGGCACTCGAACATAAGAGAATCCTTCACCACAGCCCGTGGGATCTGCCGGCCCACTTAACTGCAGCAGGCACTTGCCCCTCATGGCTTGGATATAAGCACGGGTGGTGTTCCATGGCGCAACCTTTACTTCGTCATCTAGCTTTAGCTGTGCCTCTTCGTCGTCATCCTCTTGGGGAGCGAACAGAAACTTCTCGCCATAGCCAGCATCCTAAAATTAAAGATTTGATATCATGAAAGTATTTCTCTTATGGAACCTTTCTGATCCTACTCACCTTTAGTCGCTGCTCGGCAGCAATCATGCTGAAGTAGGCGCAGCATTGCTCCGGTGAGACCATTGCCCTAATCTCCTCTTCGGATGGAAGACGGAATTCCGGCTTTATCACCCACCAATTGGAGTCCATGCCTGTGCGCTTAAAGTCGGCGCACTGTTTTAATCTCTTGCGAATGCTGCTTTCCGAGTGAGCGGGGAAGGCCCTTTTGATGTCGTCCATACGTATACGCCGCGGATTGTCGCGACTCTTCCAGAACAGGCGGTAGATAAATACCTAAAATCCATACAGAGCACACCTATATAGAAACATCCAAAATAGAAAATAAAACCTTATGAACACACCTGTAGAAAATCACGAGTAAAGTTGTTGGCCCGCTTGGAGTTTGGACCCGGCACCTCGTACAGTGGACACTCCTGACCGACCGTGAAGATGGCATTGACCGCTCGGATCCAGTAGCTGTTTCTGGTACGAATAACAAGGAAATCGTTGTGCGACATCTTGTGCGGGTAAATGGGAGCTCGGTACATATTGTTTTCAATCGCCTGGATACACTGGCCCGGATGAAGGATGCCCAAGAATGGACTTGTATGGGCAAAGGCCACTTCACCATAAACATAGTCTTGCGGTCCGCTGTCCTTCTCTGCCTTGCGCTTGTAGTAGTTCTTTATCTTGGAGCACATTCCCACCTGGTTCATCAGCGGCGGATGCTCCTCGCAGAACTCGGTAAGCACTATGTCTCCGTCCTTGCCACTAAGATCCTCTGGATTTCGCATGAAGAAAACATCGCCACCGCCGGAAGCGATACGCTCCACCTCGCGCTGCTTGGCCTTCTTCACGATGTGCTTCAGCAGCGGAAAGACGGGATGGTGTGAGACTTGAGACAGTGGGCCGTGTGAGTACTTCTTCAGGGGAGGACGATGGAAGGAGCGTAGCTTCGTCGAACCCATGTGCGTGGGCACGAACGGAGCCCGCAGCTCTACCACCGGCGTTGAGTGCTGGATGAGATTGCCACCGCCCACCTTTAGACGAAGAGTGGGCTCCGTCTTGGGTGTATAGTACCTGCGGGAATAACAATGAATGAGCTTTTACTTTTCATGAGATCTTGATTCGCTTACGTATCGTTGGATATATTAAAAGGATCCCTGTCCGGACTCTTAGGTGGCGGCGGAGGAGCGTCCTCTGCCAGTACGTTGATCACACCCGCCTTACCCAGCAAGATTTTTGACTTCTTCACGTGCGGATGCGGAATCTTGATCTTTGGTGGTGGACCCGTGTTTTTATTGATCTTTGAGGGATCGATGTCGTCCGGTATGCCCAGGATAATGTTCTCATCGTTGGGATCTAGCGTGAGTACTTTCGGCTTAGGCACCTTGGTCATCTGCTGGGCATCCCATATAACCTCGTCCTCCCACTTGTGATATATGAGTTCCTCATTTTCCACCGGGAACAAACTATACCAGGTGTCGTCGGGGGCCTCTGCTGGCTTTGCTTGAGCACTGTAATCGAGAGAGACGTTACTGAGAGCTAAGAAATAGAAACACATTTTCACTGAATTTACTTTTGCTGTGCTTTTTTGCTCGAGGCTGCGGATCCCTGTTTAGAGCTACCACCGCTGTTTCCCACAGGCAGAGCAGTCTTTCCCGGCTGGCTGAAGGCACCTGCTGTTCGCGAACCGCTGGAGGGAAGCCATCCAGCTGCGTTTGTCTTGGAGTTAAGCTTCTGCATCACTTTGGCTTTGATATCATTGCCATCCCAGACCACGTCGTCTTCCCAGTGTAGTTGGGACACCATCAGGAAAGCGTCATCCGCAATTGTTGGTACAACCTCTTCTTCCCGCCGCTCATCCTTTTGCTGCGTTTGTGCTGAAGAGTTTACCGTCTTCGTCTTAAAGCCATAGTTGAATCCTTCACCGGAATCGGGAACATCCAGCATGTCGTACCAAATCTGCGCCGGGCCATAACGCCAGTCGGCCACCTTGGGCTTTTGGTCGCTGTTCTCCCCATTATCCGGCCCCTCTTGTCGCACATCGTCGCTATTAAGGTCTCCTAACAGCTTGTCCTCATCGTCGGACATGCATTCCACCGGCGTTGGCTCGGAGGCATAGTGCAAACTGAAACCGCGCTTTCGTGGCTCCTCAGTGTCACTGGGTGAATCAGAGCCACCAGTGTTAGTCAGCTGCAATGCAAAATCATCGATTTAACCATTTATTCATTCTTTCACTTATATTTACTTACCTTCTGATCCCTAGACTGGTTACGCTTTCGGCGGCGCTTGCGTACATGCCGCCAAATCTGCGGCAGACTCGTAGGTTTACCAGGACCAAATAGCCGAGAGAAGCGTAGAACCTTTTGAGGACGGAAGTCCGGAAAGAGTTCCCGCACATCCACATTTTGGTATTTGGAAGGAAGAATATCTGCCAGCGGAGTGTCCAGCTTTCGGTCCGCATCTAGATGATGAACCAATATTAATAATTGATAATCAATATTAATCATTTTTTATTTGTTATTTACCTTTAGCATCGTTGGTCTTGGCGTCGCTGCCGGGACTGGTGGCAGCTTCAGCTGGTTTGGCGGGCTCATCAGTGCCGCTGCCAGCGCCGGAACGCATGGGAGCACTTGGTGGTGGCATCAGCTCCTTGTCGTCTTTGGCTACAAAAAGGTTAAATCGAAGACTACTGCGTTTAGTTTCTTGCTGTAATGCCTTGTCCCAGACACACACATTTACTTAGCTTGGCCTCTACCTTGGAGGCGGGAATAGCATCCTCCAGATCGTCAAAGGTGGACAATGTCTGAGACGTCTGCTCTGGCGGCGTGCGTGGGCAGTCCTCGGACAGTTCCGTGATGTCCGAGTAGTCGATGGCATCGTCCTGAGCTCTGACCGCACCATCCTCGTTCTCTTCGTTTTTCACGCCCGCTTTTAGAGCATCAAAAGCACTCAGACCACTTCTCTCTCCATTGTCAGATTTCTCACCATCCTCGTCGTCGGACAAGGGTTCGGCCTCTTTGCGGTCAATTACCTCGAGAAGCATTGAGTCCAGACCCAATCTAAAGGCGATCCGAATGTATTCCATGGCCTACTAAAGGATAGCACATGTACTCACTTGCCCAGGGAGCCAATGTTTTCCCGCAGCTCTGCATCGAACCCGGTGCCTGCACGGCCGCTGTCGCCGTCATCATCTGCCAGCAGTCTGCCCTCGGAGTCGATGTTGCCGAAGAGAATGCCGGTTAAATCCATCCCCATATCGGCGCCCCCATTGCCAATGGAGCCTTCGTCGTCACTATTGTCCGATCCAGTATCCATTTTTTATGTTTTTTAATGTTTACTGTAGGGTTGTTAAATAAATATCAATATATCGATATTTTTTCTCAAAATGATATATTTATATTATGATATTTCGTTTGCCCAAATATCGATGTTGCGATATTTTTTTGTTGATATTTCTAATATATATTTTTGGTTTTTAATTAGATTGTGGCTTTAAAAATTGATTTTTATTTAATTTTTATTACACCGGAAAGTATTGGTGACAATCGGATTAAAACAAACATCATTGAACCAGCTCAATCAAAGTTTATTCGATACTTCAAAAAGTTGTCTTTGAAAAGTACAAAAGAGTTTCTATGAATAGCCCGCCAGAAAATATTTCTATTGACTATTTTATCAATTGTATGAAATATGCAAGCCACATTAATGGAATTGGCATTCAAAGCATTTTGGTACTTGTTTTATCAAAATCCGTTCAGTCGTTTATGAGAAAACCCCACTTTTGCATTTATTTCCATAAATGTTCCTACGAAGAGTAAATATATCTGGCAGCACTGCCTGCAAAAAATTAAGTCAATTTGATTTAAACTTTTTTATAAAACTTTTGCAAAATGAGTTTTGAACATTTTGATCCACGTTTCATCAAAATCCATTCAGTCGTTCAAGAGAAATCCTTACTTTTTCATTAATTTCCATTTATGTACCGGTGAAATATAAATATATCTGGCAGCCCTGCCTGCCTAAAAACAAGAAAACTTGATTTAAACTTTATGGTTAAACCTATGCAAAAGGAAGACTGTCCTATAGACGGCATCGCAGTTCTGAACATTTTGATATATGTTTCATTAAAATCCGTTCAGTCATTAATGAGAAATCCCGACTTTTTCATTTATTGCCATAAATGTATGTGTGTGTATGACCGACGAAGAATATTAAATAAAAAAATGTAATTTAAACTTAATGGTAGGACGTATGTACATATATATGCCAATGAAATGAACGGCATTGTCCATTATATACTAGTAAAAGTGTATAGATGACTAAGTGGAAAGTTTTATTTAGATAGCTTTAAATATGAGGGTCTAGTTTCCATAAATTTGGACTGACAAACAGACAGACATGGTTAGATCGACTATGCTGTTGATGCTGATCAAGAATATATATACTTTATATGCTCGAAAATAATTTTTTTACTGCGTTGCAAATTTTTGACCTGAAATCATATGACATGACAAGGGCATTGAAGCACTAGATTTCAGAAACAAATTTTCGAAATAACATTTAATAGTCTGCCCAATAAATGATATGGTTTTTCTAAGCAATTCGGTAGGTGTTTCATCAAAATCCGTTCAGTCGTTTTGGAGAAATTAACATTTGAATTTCTAATTTATATACTAAGGAGGCATGACTATGCACCCTGGTACCCAACTGCAATAAATGAAAAATCGGAATTTCTCATTAACAACTGAACGGATTTTGATGAAACATAAATCAAAATGTCCAGAACTGCAATGCCGTCTATGGGACAGTCTTCCTTTTGCATAGGTTTAACCATAAAGTTTAAATCAAGTTTTCTTGGTTTTTAAGCAGGCAGGGCTGCGGGATATTTTTATTCTTTGCTGGCACATAAATGGAAATAAATGAAAAAGTTGAGATTTCTTATGAACGACTGAACTGATTTTAACGAAACGTGGATCAAAATGTTCAGAATTGCGATCCCGTTAATGGTACGATCTTCATTTTGCATAAGTTTTTTTTTATAAAGTTTATATCAAATTGATTTAATTTTAGGCAGACAGTGCTGCCAGATATATTTATTCTTCGAAGGAACATTTATGGAATTAAATGAAAAAGTGATGTTTTCTCTTGAACGGCTGAACGGATTTTGATGAAACATCTACCAAAATGCTTGGAATGTCAATTCCATTCATGGGGTATGCATATTTTATACAATTGTTTAAATGGTCAATAGGAATATTTTCTGGCAGGCTATCGATTTTGCTTGTCGCGGAGGGGCATAATCATTCCGCCGTGGTATATACTAAAACAATGGAAAAAAAACGAAATAGGTAATTTTTTCTGATTTAAATGAAAATCCCACCAAATTGTGTCGAATGGCGTTTCCATTTATTGGGCAGTCACTTTTCGTAATATTTTATTCAACAATTTGCTATTTCTATTTAATTTTGTATTTTTCTTAACATGATTCCATCGTCTGGTTCAGCACTGACATGGGGTCAAATTACCATGTATAAAGTAAAATAAAATAATAGAGCATGACTTTGCTAGTCGCTAGCTAATTCTTAAGCCTTGGTGCGACACTTTGATAATTAAAGTACTTATTTCAATCTGTTATACAGTAATCGATACTGGATGTAGTTCGGTAGGTTCGAAAACTACTTATAGACAGTAAGTCGCCGATCTGTAACGTTTTTTGTAGTATTTTAAATACTTAAACCCAACTACATATGTATGTATGTAACATACATAGGTATGCACATACATGTACATACATACATACATGTACATAAAATATTTGTTGTACGGGGGTTTCCCTTTTTCAGACTTGGAGTCTGTATGAAGTTGCATCCTCCATACTACATTTATTTTATATTTTTGTAATGCTCCTTTATTTGCGGTTAATACATATGTATGTCATGTTGCGTAGTTATAAATATTTTAATAAACGTTGATATAATCGGGCGAATGACTGGTCCAGGGGCGGTACGGGCATTTCATGGGCAATTTTTTCGGGTTTCTTATAAATAGGCAGGTAGATATTTATATCGGGCAAGCACCTGCAGCCACCGAGGTAAATACCAGGGAAGCAGCGGGACGCGCTTTTTCTTACCGTAGTGAGGGCATAGCTCCATGTAGCATCTGTCGTGCTTATCGCAATTCATGCACCTGCCGCAGGAGCAAGAGAGACCCCTCTCGCACTGGCTTTCTGCCTGATAATCATTGCAGGTCTGGTTCAGTCGCCGGAAGCAATAAAAACGCTCCTTGCAGCCCTCATTGACTTCCACAGCGAAATAATCATCTTTCCCAGGGCAATCCGATGTGACATCATCCCCCGGGTCCTCGCTGCAATAGTCACTATAAAAAAGTTATATTTCGATCATTCATCTCTTGAAATTAATGAAATGATGACAAATGAATTAAACAAGACAACTTACAAATCTTGGGAAATCACTAAGTGCAGAGCACAAGCCACTATTAGCAGTTGGCCAAAACGGAACTGCACTTGGGACCGCATCTCAACCTTCTCCTATCCATTTTCGGTCCTGTGGCGACTTTTTATACCCTCAGACCCAAATTAGATTGTAATCTATGTGAATGTCTTTGCATAGATTAATAAATCTGATCTGTGCACTGGGGCGTGAGAGCAGATCCGGACTTGACCGACTCGGTTCTGGCCGTGAAAGGCGTGAGTCAATGGTGAGGTTCTACCTTACTTACACTAGCTTGAAAAATAACTAGCTTGCAAAATAATTATAAATTGCACAAAAGCAATTACCCAAAAAATGGGTAAAATTATTTGAATATTGCTTCTATAACTTAAATATGAATCACTATATTTGAGCTCTACTGTATCTCGCTGTGCAAACTTCGCGTTCGAGACTGACATTTGCTATAATTTAAGAGAACGTCAGGGTCAAGAGCAATTAAATCAAACTAAGAAATATTAGGGGTGGTACTCATTGGTTAGGAATTGATTTTCTCCCGATTATATTTTAAAATTTAAGGTTGAAAAAATTTCGTTATTTCAAGGACAAAACACTTATTAGACCAGAAATGTAAAGTTAACTCAAATTATATTGTTTATTCGATATCGTTTAGGTACATCCTAAAATACAATTTTCATGGTCTCCTATTTATTTTGTTTACATATCAACTTAAAGTTGGTCAGTTCACTTTGAGTGATAGCATATGCTTTATTTTGATTCAAGTGTATTATGTCCTGTATGATCATTGCACGATCACAAAAAAGGCCCTTAAAGCGGAGGCTTCTGCAAGAAGAGAAAGGTTATTTCTTTTATTTTTATGTATTATATAAACAGCCATGAAACTTACCCCAAAGGCATGTAGGACTTAATCATAGTGCGGTAAACTCCCTTTCCCAGCCAGGGACACACGACCAACTGACCATATTCGAATTCTGAGTAGTACCTGAAGAAATCCTTCAAAATATTACGGACTTCGATCGCATTCAATGGAATCGGCTTCATATTAAAAGACGATAAGCCGAGCTTTACAAAATCGGTTTTCCAAGCTATAAATTCATACAATTTATATATATATATATAAGGTTCCGATAAAATCATGTTTAACTCACGTCCAAAATTCGGCAAAAGGTTAGTTTGTAAATTACTGACACTAGGCAGTTGTCCACGAATTTGAAGGAAAAATATAACCATTAGGGTGAATATATGTCCGCGAAAATTGCTTAAACCATTTGCCAGGGCCCAGCTTCGCAGATAAATTACCATGTAGCGGGCTGTAAAGTAGTAATCTTATTAACTCTAGTTATATTTGAAATTAAATATTTTCATTACACCCACCAATGGGTTGCAAATCAAAGATATAGTTAACCAGGTTATTCTGATCAACGGTTATCTTCATTGAAAAGCTAATGTCACACAATATATTCGAATCCTTGTGTCGGGCAGTCACAAGGGGATACACTCCGTGGAAACTTTTTGTGAAACTCCAATTCGCGGAGGAGCTTAAGGCTTTTTTAATTTTCATCAGATTTCTCAATCTTGTTTGGGTCGAGTACTCGGTGTAAATGTTATTGCCATCTTGAAACGGTTAATTATTATGATATTTGTTTAATGGGTTTTAGAAATCACTTTACATACCAGCATCCACATAAAGGTCCAGATCAGAGTCGGCAGTTGCTATACCCATAATCCGCGACCCGAAGGCGTAGATCGGGGTGCCAGGAAAGTCAGAGTACAGTGCTTGCTTCAGATCAGATATTATTTGATCATGTCCAGTCGTTTTAATATAATCAGCCTTGTCAACTTTCTTCTTGAGGTTTTCCCAGAAATTAACCGAGTCTTTTTGGCGAAGAAGAATTATTAAAAGGTATATTATTACACTTTCACAGATTTTGTTTCTTTTATATTACCTAGCTCCATTTTATTCGGAAAGCGGTAGATGTAAGTTTGTCTGATGAATCGTTCAAAGTAATCAAAGTTCTCAGAATATTTTTGGCAAGTTTGTGTGACCATCACACACAATGCGAGAATGTGAGCATTGCCAAACTATCGATAAAATATTTAGTTTGTTATTATTTTTTAAATTTGATATACTGATTGTATTTACTTCTATATATTTATACATTCTCTTTTTTTTGTAGTACTTTATCTATATATTTCTTTATATGAGAATGTAAAAAACGTAATATTTTTCTGTGTTTACTGTAAAGAGAAAAATGTATTAATGTAATGAGTATGAGCATTATTATTCACATATATTAAGTACTAAATATTATATATAGAAAATTATCAAAATCAAGTATGCATGAAGGATTGGCTGTGCCATTTAATACACCCAAAAACTGGTCATTATTATTACATAAGTTCTTGCTTATTTCCTTCTGAGTATAACAGCCTTTCAAACTGTCTCTATTAACTTTGGCAATATTATAAAAACATTGTCGTTATCGTCTGCGGCAAACATCACCTAATCATCCAAGCGATTTGAAGAGAGTCTCACTGATAAGGTGTTTCCCGATTAGGCACAGATTACTTGAAGCCCAATGGCTGAGGAGAATTGCCGGACCTCAGTACTTTTGCACCACCATCTCGAGCGGACGAACAGCAGCGAAAAATGACGGGAGAAACTGTGATTTTAGCCTACTCTGGTGGCTTGGACACCAGCTGCATCCTCAAGTGGTTGCTGGACCAGCAGTACGAGGTGATCTGCGTTCTAGCTGATGTTGGTCAGAAGGAGGACTTTGTCGCCGCCGAAAAGAAGGCCCTTAAGATCGGTGCCAAGAAGGTAAGCCAAATGAGGTATCCTATTGACAAGATTTTGTACCTTCCTGACCTCCAGGTGATCGTGGCTGATGTAAAGCAGTCGTTCGTGGAGGACTATATCTGGCCGGCCATCCAGATGGGCCTCGTCTACGAGGAGCGTTACCTGCTGGGCACCTCGCTGGCCCGCCCGTGCATCAGCGTGGCCTTGATGGAAGCGGCCCGTCAGTGCGGAGCCAAATACCTGGCCCACGGAGCCACCGGCAAGGGTAACGATCAGGTGCGCTTCGAGCTGTGTGCCTACGCCCTCAAGCCGGATCTTCAGGTGGGTGAGAATAGCCGATAAGCTAAGCCTTGGCCAGATAATATTGTCTTATCGCGGCGCAACGCCTGCTATGCAGTCGTACCTCCTCCCGTTTGTTATATTTATCGATCGATAGATAGATTGATTTTAAACCATACACATGTATATTAATTTAAGGTTACACATCGTCCATTTCAGATTATTGCTCCCTGGCGGAATGTGGAGTTCTGTCGACGGTTCCAGGGTCGCCAAGATCTCATCGCATACGCCCAGGAGCATGGAATCGAGGTGAGCGCCAAGCCGGCCACGCCATGGAGCACTGATGCCAATATTCTGCACATCAGCTACGAATCTGGCATCCTTGAGAATCCCAATACTGTGGCTCCGGGTAATCTTTACGAGATGACCGTAGATCCCCTGACAAAGGCCCCACGAGACCCAGTTCGTGTGGTGATTGGATTCGATCGCGGACTGCCCACCAGTGTGGAGGATTTGGCCGGCAGTAGGGTCTACACCAAGCCATTGGAGATGCTGCAGTTTCTGAACGAGCTGGGCGGATCGTACGGCATCGGACGGATTGACATCGTTGAGAATCGCTACGTGGGACTAAAGTCCCGCGGGGTGTATGAGACACCCGGAGGCACTATTTTGTTCGCCGCCCATCAGGACCTCGAGGTGTTTGCTCTGGACCGCGAGGTACTTCGCACCAAGCAGGTCCTGCGGGATCGCATGGCCGACTATGTGTACAACGGCTTCTGGTTCAGTCCGGAGGCCATCTATGTCCGCAGCTGCATTGAGCTGGCCCAACAGCGGGTCTCCGGCCAGGTGACCATGGAACTGGCTCCAGGCTACTGTCGAGCCATAGCTCGCAAAGCGTCAGAGGATGGCGGAGCCCTTTACAATGAGCAGCTCGTGTCCATGGACGTACACGGCGGCTATGTGCCCCAAGATGCTGGCGGATTCATTGCCATTAACGCGGTCCGGATTAGGGAGCATGTCCGGGCATTTGGACCCTACGAAGTGCCCAAGCGGGGCAAATAAGACATAAATAAATGGAATTTTGAAAATGGGTCTTATAAATTTAGAACTTTAGACACTTTCTATCCATCAGAAATTTCGAACCTTAGCCAATAATGCTCTTAAAATTAGCACAGATTTTTCTCTTAATTTCTAAGACCGTACTGTCACAGGAATATGTTTTACTCAACCTTCTTAATGTTAGTGAGATATGTAATATGTAATTTTCACTGCAATCAATTGGAGTGTTTGCCTAATAAATCTGAAGGCCAAGAGGGATGGCTGGAACACTTGTAAGGGAAGCTGAATACACAATTAATGAAATACTAGAATTCAAATAAATATATAAATATATATACATACATATGTATGTCTTTCGCTTTCAATATTTGGCAGAGCCAAGAGCAAACATAAGACCAAAACACAAATGCCCCATGTTGGATTTCCCAATTGCATTAATCTTATTTCCGGAGTTGCCTGGATCCGGCGAAAGATGAGCAAAACAAAAGATGCTCCTTCGCACATATATGAATGCAAAAACAAATATTATTACAACAAATAAATAGAGAGCCACAAGGAGGGGAACATCGGCTGTGATTGTATTTCAGACAGCCTGGATATTTATACGTCCGTCTGCATCTGTGTCCTGTGTGTAGGTAAGTAAGCATTGTTTATCTATCGACAGAAATTGATGATGGAAGTGAGTGCCGAGTGGCCATGACCAGGGAATCGGCTCCAAGGACAGAAGTCCAAGTGATGGAGATCTTTCAGCATAAAGCCACATACCCAAAGGACATCTTTCCTTACTGTTGGTTTTGGCTTGGCTTGGCAAGAGCTTATGGTTTTCTTATTATTATTTTTTGTTTTTCATCATTATTTGCTTATTATATTCGGCACAAAAGTTTTGCATTCTTAAAGTTGTTTAGTTTACTACAATTTCTATTTCAAGAGCCTCCTTTTGGCAAGCTACGATGGCTGACATCGGTGGCACACTGAACATGTGGTGAGTCTGGTCAAGAATGTCTTTGGTGGCTGACAGTTGGGAACACAAACGCGAAACTAGGCAACCGCGCCAGTGGACCAACTTAACTCAACTCGACTGTGCCTCATGCTGCCCATCTATCCATATCCAGCCATCCGTCCAGCATTATCTGCGCATCCATGCATCCATCAAAAGCGGGGACAATGTTGCTTTTGTTGGTGTGTTACCCGTGGCATACGATCAGAATCAGACAGCGTTGACGTTTCAACTTTGTCCTAAACTACGAAAATAGCAAAAAGGGCTTTGGCTTTGGCTCGAATATGGGCAAATGCAGCGACCACCGACATCGCCCCATAAATGCTGAAAAAGTTAAGCTCTCGGTTTTTGCGGGATTATTTGCGAGCGTTCAAAGGATGTCGTTAGTCCTTTGCGACTCGCAGGCGCAACTTTTGCGAGACCTTCGCTCTTGCCGGTTTTTGTGGGCTCTCTGTGTGTGTGTGTGTCGCACTTTTTTCTTTTTTTTTTGCTCTCCTCTTCATTGAAGTTGATAAATTGAATCAAAGGTTAACTTTGCGAAAAGTGTGAAGTATGATTAACAAAGCAGCGACGGAAGTGGCTTAAAGCGCTCATTTAAATGGCTGCTAATTTTGATATCCCTGCGGGCCAAATTGATTTAGTCAAACAGTGGGAAAAACTCGCAAGAGCAGCGTTTAAATTCCCCCAGCTACAGGGACAGGATGCTAAAATAGAATTCCTTGTAATTGCAAAGAAAAACACGTTCTGTCTCTCTCTCAGGAGTTGGCTGAAAGCTGTCGGGTCTGGCAACAACAGTCAGAAATTTATGGCCAACTGGAACTTGAAGCCAGGAGAAAGGAGTCAGGGGCTTGGAGCTAGAACCAGGATCCTGGCACGCCCAATACACTTTAGCAAACATAAATTTATTTATGAGCATGTGTCCGTTACCCCACCCTTTCGAGCTAGAGAGTCCTTCCGCCGAAGCTCACAAATTGTTTGAGGGTGAATTTTAATTATTCCTTATTGTTTTGATAGCCAAGCGTGCAGCTCTCTACACTTTCATTCCATTTGCCCAGGATTCGGCCAGCCATGGCCAACAGAATCGTCCTGACCTATGACCTAGCTTTTGGTTTTTATTTGTTTTTTGCTTCTGAAAAATATATCCATAGATGGAGAAGATACTCTTCTTGAAATATTATTATATAATACATATAGATCTGAGACACAAGTGAATATCTGAAGCTGACTTAACATTATAAACAGATATAATTTGGTATATTTTCCACTTGCACATTGTTTCATTCAAAGTTTGATGCAATTCCCTCTCTACATTCTGCGCGACAGTCTTGACCTCCTTTGGATGCTTTGATTTTAATTATCACGCAGTTGAATTCGCACAGCTGCACTGTCTTCATGACTCCTGACATCCGACACCACCCGGCTTCGGTGTCCGGAGGATTCGAGCTGCTCCTTCGCGGCGCCAAAACTATCCGGCAAAAGGAATTTTATTATTGAAATTTGTTTGCGCGGGCTTTGTTGGAGTTGCTGGCGCTGCCATGGCCGCTGCCTGTGCTGGATGCATTCTCATTTTGTAATTAAGTGCAGACAGAAGTTGGAATCAGGTCACTCATACGCCCCATTGGCCGACGGTGCGACGCGGCACTGTCCGTGAGAAAACTTAATTTTTCAAATGAATTTTTCCGACCCAGCAGCGGCGCGCAATGGCTTTTCAAATTATTACACTTGGCAGCCAAAAGGGACGCCAATATACATATATACATATATATATATATTTTTTTTTTGTTCACCAGTGGCAGCACCTGCAGTTAATGTTGAGTAGCCAAGTTCTGGGGACAGGCGAAACTAATTAATTCGGGAATATCGCAGGTGGATCTAAAGGTTTCATCCACTTTTACACATTTTATTTTTTTTTGTTGGTGCTTGTGCA